GATTTTGTCTAGACAGGATATGCCTTATTTGCAAGATGGAAGACCCGTTGATATGGTCTTCAATCCATTAGGGGTCCCTTCTCGAATGAATGTAGGACAGATATTGGAATGTTCACTCGGGTTAGCTGGGAGTATGCTAAATAGACATTATCGAATAGCACCTTTTGATGAGAGATATGAACAAGAGGCTTCCAGAAAACTTGTGTTTTCTGAATTATATGAGGCTAGTAAACAAACATCGAATCCATGGATATTTGAACCTGAGTATCCGGGAAAGAGCAGAATATTTGATGGAAGAACATGGAATCCTTTTGAACAGCCCGTTATAATAGGAAAGCCTTATATCTTGAAATTAATTCATCAAGTTGATGATAAAATACATGGACGTTCCAGTGGACATTATGCACTTGTTACACAACAACCCCTTAAAGGAAGGGCCAAAGGGGGAGGACAACGGGTAGGCAAAATGGAGGTTTGAGCTCTCGAGGGGTATAGCTATATTAAAGGGGAATTGTCTTTTTACGATTGCCAACGATATCATTAATAAAACTTCCCCGGAGAGTGAACTCCGGGAAGGTAGTAGAATAAAAGAGATTTGTATGATAAAATAGAATTCATATGAATTATGAAAATAATAAACCACGCTAAAAAAAAAATACCAATCCGCATAAACTTTGAGTTTAGATTCAATTAATGAAGTAAAGTAACTCTATTTTTTTTTAGAACAGGAGTTCTAGTAATCGACTTGCTTTTTTCATATTTTTTTGTTGCAATTTTAAGAAGAGGTGACGAACTTCCAAAAGGTAACAAAGATAAAATACGAGCTTGTTTTATAGCAATCGTAATCCATCGTTGTTGTTTTAAGGTCAATTTATTAACACGTCTAGATAAAATTTTGCCTTCTCGAGTGACAAGTTTGAAAAGTAAACTCAAGTTTTTATAATCAATTCGATCCCTAAATTGGATTAGGGGCGACCTCCTACGAATTGATTTCTTATTCTTCGATTTAACAAACAGTAGCTTAGATGATTTAACAAACAGTCGCTTAGATTTATCCATGGTTTGTTTATTCCTATACCGAAAATTCCGTTTGTTATAAAAAAAGAATTTGTTTTAGTTATATATATTCTTTTTTTTTAATAAATTTTATTTTTTATATAAGGAAATAGATCCTATATAATGATATATGTATATAATTTCATGTTATAGAATTTTATTTATAGAATATAGAGAAGATAATTTCTCTGATATCTATATAATTCATTTTTATGTTATTTAATTTTTTCAATTTACCTCCTAAGGGTAATACACAAGTAATCCATTTTCTCTATTTCTTGATCTCTGCGTGAATCATATGTTTGCAACAAAAGGGACAGAATTTTCTCTATTCCAATCGACTAGGCGTATTGTGTCGATTCTTTTGAGTAATATATCGAGAAATACCTCTCGATTCCTTATTAACACTCTTTTTATCACAACTAGTACATTCTAAAATAACAGTTATTCGGATATCTTTACCCTTAGCCATGAGCCTCCTTTGGTTTTTTTTATTCACTTAACTCTTCGATTTTAAGATTCGAAGGGAAGAAGAAAAAAGGAACGAAAAAAAATATAAGTTGATAAGTCAAAATAAAATTCTGAAATATTTTGTTCCAATTCATTTTATATAGTACAGTAATAATTCACTACTACAAAGCTTTCGAAATATATTTCGAATTACAGTATAGTATTTCTGTTTTTATTTAAATATCTTTTATGATATTATTGCCCCTATCCTAATAATTCCATTTCTGGTCTGACTATTAAGAATTCTAATAGTTATTAATAGCAATGGAATTGAAGTATTAATTCAATTCCATTTAAACGAAACCTGGGCAAAATTCAAAATTTCACGGAGGCCCAATCCACCTTTTTGAATTTCCTTAATTTATTATTCTAGTATAATTAATTAGAAAAAAGCAACGAAGAGGGATTGAATCACAAATATTTTATTGGATCCCTAATCTTCGTCACCCTTTCCCGTGCCAATAACTAGAATTAAAAAAAGGGGAATGTCAATGCATCTGGGAATAAACGATTGATTTCGATCAAGAGACCCGCTAGAGCCGCGGACTATAAAGTACTTGCCACTGGTGCCACAGAGAGATATGTTTTTAGATCTCGCATTTCCAATCCTCCTTCGTTTTTTCTTGTAATTTTGAATACCTAATAATACAGAATATAGGAATATGATTCCATGTTTTTTTATTAATAAAACCACTTGGATTTGTCGGGGAAAGTCCGAATCCAAATTGAATTGTACAACAATTCATTAGATATTTTTTTATAGAGTACTTTTTTTTATAAGAATTAGAATAATAGACTATTATTCTAAATTCTATTATATATATATATATATATATATATATATATATATATATATATATATATATATATATATATATATATATATATATATATATATATATATATATATATATATATATATATATATATATATATATATATATATATATATATATATATATATATATATATATATATATATATATATATATATATATATATATATATATATATATATATATATATATATAATTCTTATTTGTATATTCTTTGTTCTTGTTATTATACTCTTTGTATCTTATTATTTATATATCCTATCTATTCCCGGTTTTAAATTATTTATATTAATTGAATATAACTATTCTATCAGAATATTTGTTCTTTATATGATCGATCTAAGAAAGTAAAACAAAAAAACAAAAAAAAATGGCAGGATATATTCCATATATAATGGAAGAATGTGGAAAACAAGACAAAAATTTTTTAGAATGACACTGGAAACTTATGTCAAGGGATGTAGCGCAGCTTGGTAGCGCGTTTGTTTTGGGTACAAAATGTCACAGGTTCAAATCCTGTCATCCCTATTCCTAACGATTAGTTATCGTATGAGCAGTAACAAGAGATCAATTTTGAGCGATTCAAATTGGACATAGATACTCAAGTTATATGAATAGTTCTCCATATTGAGTTTGTATGCATGCAATATGTATTGCCATTTCATAAAATTCTTTAGGAAAAGAAAGCGCTCTAGTTCAGTTCGGTAGAACGCGGGTCTCCAAAACCCGATGTCGTAGGTTCAAATCCTACAGAGCGTGATACCATTCTTCTGAGATGGAGAATGAGACTAAAATAATGGGATAACAGTCTAGTCTAATAAAAAAAAGTGTTAATTGGATCTCCTGTCAATTAGGATTAAAAAAAAAATAGGAGGTCAATAAACAAAAGAGACAGTACTAAATCAAATATCCAACTGATCGCCACGTCGGTATTGTAAATAGGCCATTACAAATAATCCAGCCAAAGTAATAGGAATTAGACCTAACACGATTCCAAATAGAAAAACTTCAATCATTTGAGTTTGGTTGAAAGTAAAATAAGGTGGGGATAATATCGATCCTTAAATATGAATTTATATTGACCATGAATCTCAATGACCAAGAATTGGAAATATGATAAGAAACTATCAATATCAAAAATATTCTACAATTTCCAATTCATCTCTAAATTGCAAATCAAATAAGTCGTATCTTACTCAGACTGATAAAAATACCTGCGGTTATAGTTAAAACTGCTAGTATAAAACCGAAATAACTGGTTATAGTGGGCATAAGGAAACTAGATGAAATATATTCTTTTTATACATATGTTTATAAAGCACTTTCCTAAGTTTCCATTTTTTTTAGATCCAAATAGGTAAGCAAAAAATACCAATTGAAAGATACAATTGAAAATAATGGATTCATGAATCCATTATTACGGATGAACAAAAAGAAAAATATAGTTACATAGGTAAGAAATCAATTCATCATCTGTGACATCTACCCAGCCTATGATTCCAAATCAACCGATTTATTGATCAACTCATGACATGAGTTGAGTAAACGAAAATATTTCCATTTTTTCATTTTTATTTTATATTTTATATATATTTTATATATTTTATATATATAAAGCTCTATCTTTGTAATGAAACCAAGAAAGACCCATACGTAGACTTTTTGTGTCTAATATAAGAACAACAAATGTTCATTTTGAAGAAAAAAAGGATTCGTTGTTCTTGTATTAGTATCCATTGTCTGCATTCACTGATATAAACACGCATATCAAAAAAAGTAAACCCCCACCACCATTGCGTATTGTTACTTATCGGATATAGAATAGATCTGCTTCTTTTTGTTCCTACGAATAGAATGTTTCTTTGTTTCTAAAAAACTCGAACAAATATAAATTCTTTAATGTGAGATAATTTACTAATACTAATTAAGGGGAGGGTCTATAGCAAGCATAGTTTTTTACAGTGCAATAAAGTTACATAGTGTCTATTTTTTGTTAATATAAGGGGTATTTTCATGGGTTTGCCTTGGTATCATGTTCATACCGTTGTATTAAATGATCCCGGCCGTTTACTTTCTGTCCATATAATGCATACAGCTCTGGTTGCTGGTTGGGCCGGTTCGATGGCTCTATATGAATTAGCAGTTTTTGATCCCTCTGACCCTGTTCTTGACCCAATGTGGAGATAGGGTATGTTCGTTATACCCTTCATGACGCGTTTAGGAATAACCAGTTCGTGGGGTGGTTGGAATATTACAGGAGGCACTATAAAAAATTAGGGTATTTGGAGTTACGAAGGTGTGGCCGCGGCACATATTGTGTTTTCGGGCTTGTGCTTTTTGGCGGCTATTTGGCATTGGGTCTATTGGGATCTAGAAATCTTTTGTGATGAACGTACTGGAAAACCCTCCTCATGTAAATATATTTTATTGTTTAGGAGGAATTACACTTACTTGTTTTTTAGTCCAAGTAGCGACGGGTTTTGCTATGACTTTTTATTATCGTCCAACCGTTACGGAGGCTTTTGCTTCTGTTCAATATATAATGACTGAGGCTAATTTGGTTGGTTAATCCGATCAGTTCATCGATGGTCAGCAGGTATGATGGTATTAATGATGATCTTGCACGTATTTCGCGTGTATCTCACTGGTGGTTTTAAAAAACCTCGCGAATTGACTTGGGTTACAGGTGTAATTTTGGGTGTATTGACTGCATCCTTTGGTGTAACTGGTTATTCTTTACCTTGGGACCAAATTGGTTATTGGGCAGTCAAAATTGTAACAGGTGTACCCGACGCTATTCCTGTAATAGGATCCTCGGTGGTAGAGTTATTACGCGGCAGCGCTAGTGTGGGACAATCTACCTTGACTCGTTTTTATAGTTTACATACTTTTGTATTACCTCTACTTACTGCCGTATTCATGTTAATGCACTTTCCAATGATACGTAAGCAAGGAATTTCCGGTCTTTTATAGAGAATATGAATCATAGATATTTGTAATAAATCATTTGGGGGAGGAGTAATAGTATTTCATTGCTACAAATATGCATTATTTTTTTTTGAATAAGACATGTATTTGGATATTTCCCTTCCACTTAACAAAATAAATTGGATTCTTTATTTGACATACACGAATAGTGGAAGGGAACTCTCCGAAAAAATAATGTATTATGGGAGTGTATGACTTGAACTATTGATTGGGCCATGCAGATATATGACTTCATCTTATCTGCCACATTTGAATTCACAATTAAATGTGTCTTTGTTCCAACCACGGCGCCAGTCCTCTACAAAGGATAGTCAGTCCGGTTCGCTTGAAGAAAATATTTTCTATGATCAGACTCGATCATATCCTGTGCATGAATAGGCTCCGTAATATCCAGTAAAATAAGTAAAATGATATAATCTAAATTATGTAATATGTATTTCATTAAACTTAATAGTATGGAAATGCATTCATTTCCTATGCATTGACTCAATTTATGATACTATCGGAGTTAAACAAGTAGATCTAAAGAAAAAGTGGGTTGTATTATATTAGTAACAAGTAAATCCTTTCTATGTCAAAAATTCCGAAAATTCTTTTTTTGAGGTATACCAGGCGAAAGGTTTGAGATCACCCAGAAAGAACTTTGGATTTTGAAAACTTACTTGGGTGAAAAGCATTTACTTAAAAATAAGAACTGGATTTTTTGCATTTACAATGGATAGTTGTAATTTTGAAAAAAAAAACAATTAAATCCATTTTATTACATATTATTACATAGAATCATGATATATGAGTGACTAACATATAAAGAATTTCTATGTCTGCATTCAGTTTGTTTGATTCGTGCTCGAGCCGGATGATGCAAAATTATCATGTCCGGTTCTTTCGGAGGATGGATCTATAAGAATTCACCTATCCCAATAACAAAAAAACCTGATTTGACGAATCCTGTATTAAGAGCGAAATTGGCCAAAGGGATGGGTCATAATTATTCTGGCGAACCCGCATGGCCTAACGATCTTTTATATATTTTTCCAGTAGTTATTCTGGGTACTATTGCCTGTAACGTAGGCTTAGCGGTTCTCAAACCATCAATGATTGGGGAACCCGTAGATCCGTTTGCAACTCCTTTGGAAATATTGCCCGAATGGTATTTTTTTCCCGTATTTCAAATACTTCGTACCGTACCCAATAAATTATTGGGCGTTCTTTTAATGGTTTCAGTACCCGCGGGATTATTAACAGTACCTTTTTTGGAAAATGTTAATAAGTTCCAAAACCCATTTCGGCGTCCAGTAGCAACAACCGTCTTTTTGATTGGTACCGTCGTGGCTCTTTGGTTGGGTATTGGAGCAACATTACCTATTGAAAAATCCCTAACGTTAGGGATTTTTTAAATTGATTCTATTGTCAAATAAAATATCATGACAGGTGTATTGTGTATCTAGGGAAAATTCACTTTGAAATGACTAATCCAAAGATCCATCTATTTCATTTTATACCTATTCTGAATATATTGATTTGTGCTAAAGATTCAAATTTAATATTTGAAGCTTTCTTTTTATAAATAAAAAAAAATGAAAGATTCAAAAAAATCCAATGGATTTTCAATTTATACATGTATAAATTGAAAATCCATTGGATTTTTTTTGAAAAACCAAATATGTTCATCGTGAATACAAAAACCAAATATGTTTATCATGTACTGCTACTTATTTTTAATCCCCAATTTATAAAATACAAAAAATAAATATGTTTATTCAAAATAGGATTGATACTCGTACTCGTACATGTATATCATAGGTTTGATACTGAGACTCACATAAAGACAAACCTATAATATACATACAAACTAGGATTGACACTGGGACTCACATAGAGACAAACGAACATTTCAACTAGATCTGGGAGGAATAACATTTCATGCAGTAAAATTATTTTGGATCTTTCACATGTACATTAGTTATGTATATACATACAACTAGATTGACAATTTGTATTCTCTATTTTATTTCTCAATTATCAGGCCCCAATTGGAGCTCTGATACCAATTTGTTAGAACAGAACTGTAACAATTAATTTGGAATGAAAACTTAAATAGCCTAAGTACAACTGAAAAAATCTTAACATTTAGGAATCCACTACTACTCAGTTCTCCTACAATATAGACCTGACTTATTCAACTAAAGACTTGGTAAACTAAATTATTCAACTACAGACCTTAAAAAAATGAAAAGTTTATAGTCTTCTATTTTATAGACTCAGACTTACCTGTATGTTATTTTTTCACAATTATTAGAACTTCACTTTATTATTTTGATAGTGAAATTCAGACTTGTAATGAAATATTTATTATTAGAACTTCACTTTATTATTTTGGTAATGAAATTCAGACTATTTATCAAAATAGGTTCAGACTTCACTTTATTATTTTGTCATTTCTTCACAATTACTAAAAGTCTTTATAACTTCATTATAACTTCACTCTTATTTTGTCTTTAACTAGTGTTATATAATTGGAGTAATATTATGTAATTTTCCATCCTATACTAACAAATTTTAATTTTTAGATATATTTAAGAATTTACGAATTTAATTTATACATAGACTAGATACATCAACTTAAAATGATTTGTTTCCAATGCAGAATTTATAATATATATGAAATTCTTTAATTTATTTTCTTTATATATATATATATATATATATATATATATATATATATATATATATATATATATATATATATATATATATATATATATATAAGACTATAAACTTCCAATAATAAATGAATATGATGCATGTTTATTTATTTAATTGAAGAAAAGTTGTTTGATGTAACAGGGTAGTAATAATAAAATGGAATTCTGGAATCTTTTTGTTGTTGCATTAATGCCTATTTTTAAGGTTCTGTTGATTACTGTTCTTGGTATTTTCCTTGCACTTGATCGTTTTCATATACTCAGTAACGAAACTTCAAGAAAAAACTTGAATACTGTAAGTTCATTGTTTTTTTATTTATAAAATATTTTATATTTCAAAAGCTCTATTAATATATGAAAAAAATTTCTTATATATATATATATATATATATATATATATATATATATATATATATATATATATATATATATATATATATATATATATATATATATATATATATATATATATATATATATATATATATATATATATATATATATATATATATATATATATATATATATATATATATATATATATATATATATATATATATATATAACACTTGGTAAAGTCAGATTGATTTGAAATAATTTTTTTAAATCATAAATAGTAGAACCAAACTCAGTAAGCTCTAATCCTTTTGGTAAATAACTAGAATTGTTAACTAATCGGTGTATTCAAAATAAAATTGTTTATTCAAAATAAAATAAAATTGTTAACTAACCATGCATTGCTTATTTTTATTATTTATGTTTGGTTTGTTGTTCATCTCATGTGTATTCTTCTAATAGGTTGTGTTTGCTTTCAGTTTGGTTGAATTTTAAGGTGCTGTCACCGCCGCCACCTTCCGTCATTCTTCTTCTTTTTTTTCCGCCGCCACCAATCTCTTCGCCAAAGATGAGGTGAATCCCTTTTACGTAAGTTTCTCATCATATTTTCTCTGATTAATTATTTTCTCTCATCATATTTACATAATGTTGATGAATTAGTTAGCCATATACGTACGGACACACGAATACAAAAACAAAATATGTTTATCGTGTACTGCTACTTATTTTTAATCCCCAATTTATAAAATACAAAAAATAAATATGTTTATTCAAAAGTGTACATGTATATCATAGGTTTTTCTAAATTAAAATAATAAATAATAAGTAAAAGATACTGGTGATGCGACTCATAATAGTAGAGAAACTAAATCCATGCATTGCTTATTTTTATTATTTATGTTTGGTTTGTTGTTCATCTCATGTGTATTCTTCTAATCGGTTGTTTTTACTTTCAGTTTGGTTGAATTTTAAGGTGTTGTCTCCCGTATAGGTTTCTATTCTCAACGTGAAATTTAAGGTGTTGTCTTTCACTTGGAAAAGTTAACTATTCTCAACGTGAAGTTTTGATATTATTTGCTACTGAAAGAAATATCTTATTTTTTAGTTTCTATTGGAGAGACAACCTTGAGCTTTTTCTACTTTCCAGCACTCTGGCGGTGATAACAACGATAAATAAGGTATCTTTAATAGTACATGATTTTACTGTTTTTAATAATAGCTTTTTGTAAAAATGTCAAATAATTTTGATGTCAATTTGGTGCTATTTGGGTTAAATTTGAGTAATAGAATTTTATGCGCAAATACCATTGTGTTAGGAATAATTTTTATGATTTAATTTAATGCCACATGTTTGCACGTAGAGACTTTGTTCTCTCTAATGTGTCCAAAAGAGGGACTATTGTAGGTATCACAATGATTTAACTCTGTATGTGTTAATTTCGGAACATAGGTATGGATCGTAGTTGGATGAGAGCTAATCGATTAAGTGCTGAGTACGAGCATGGAGTGATGGAATTTATACAGTTTGCTGAAAGTAATGCTAAAAAAAATATTCCTCCTCCTAAAAGTAGTGCTGAAAAAAGTCGTCATGTGCTTTTTCTTTGTCCATGTGTTCGTTGTGCAAATCAAGAACCAAAACTTAATAAGAAAGAAATTATGGATCATCTAATTTGTGAAGGGATTTGCCAAAGTTATACACAATGGATATGGCATGGTGAAGTAGTAGCAAAGTCAAATGTGTCCAAAAAAGATAATGTTAGTGTAGAAATGGATGATCGTCTAGAAGACAAAAGAAGTGGAAGACGATGTTCAGAGATTGTTACTCATGGTTCTGAAAATGGGCGACACACACTTGGAATTAAAATTAAGTCATTGTGCAAGTGTCATTAATTTTTATATGTCAGCTAAGTGTATCAGAGAGTTATTGGTGGGTTTTCAATGGCT